TAACAAGCTGAGCTTATTTTACTTTCAATATCGTCTAATTCATATTTCTACTTTAATTTACTGTCTATCCTGACTCCTAAAAATTTAGCCACTTCTACAGATTGTACTGTTTTATCACCTAGTGTGACCTGCATAGATGTGTTATTACTGACGTTATTGCGGAATAACATCACATTTGTTTTATTGGTGTTGATCGAAAAGCCGATGACAGTAAACCATATTCTAAAGGATTCCAATATTCGGTTTATTTTAATTTCTAGTGCCGCTATTTCGGAGGCTGAGATAATAGCATTAGTGTCAACTGCAAAGAGGACTAAGTTTTTTAAGTCTGTCGTTCTACGTACATAATGGTTTAAATCCTTTATGAAAGTAATAAATAATACGGGTCCTAAAATGGAGCCTTGGGGTATACCCACTTTAACATTAATCATTTTGGACTTCGTCACTATTTCAGACATACTATCGTTCACCGTTTTTATTTCTACGAACATTTTTCTGTTATTCAAGTGGGATTGACATAGTTTCAGAGCCTGTCCTCGAACCCCATAATAGTGCAATTTTCCCAAAAGAAGATCATGATTGATGGTATCAATATTTTTCTAAATCTATACTGCGCTATTACAAGGTTGCCTAGCTAATAAAAAAGAAGAAATGGTAGCTTGGTTACAAGCAAAAGGCATTGACGCACATATGCAGATGCTAAAACTAGAGCTAATTAAATTAGTTAAAGAAAATAAAGCGGCAAATGTGCGATACGAAATCGATGAACTGGCTCTGGAGTACGGTCATCGCGTTCTAAGAATTCCACCGTATCATTGCCAATATAACGCGATTGAGCTAATCTGGGCTCAAATAAAAGGTTACGCCCCCCGCCACAATACTTCCCCGCCATTTAGCACGAAAAAGATGATGACCCTATTAAAAGAAGCCTGCGGGGGAAGTCACAAGAGATGACTGGGCAAAGGTTGTTGAGAAGACTAAAAACCTGATTGTGGAACATTTTGACCGAGATATCGGGATTGATTCTGTTATTGATAATAATATAATTATACATGTAGGCGAAGATGATGATGAAGACACCACCTCCTCAAGCGAATCGGTCGGTCTGATTAATATTCTGTACGCACATTCAATTCAATGTACCTTATTGCATAGAAAAACAGATACAGACTTTGTAACAAAGAATAAATAAAGCAATTTTATTATATGAATATTACCTTTTTTTGGTTTCCACTTAAATTACTAAAATATAAATTTTAAATAATTCCGCCAATTTAAAACGAAAATAATCTTAAAAATAACGCTGCGGTTCATTTTGGAGGAACGGTAACGAACTCAGTGTTATGTTGTGCCCATCACTAGTCGTGACTAACTGATAGCTGTCAGGAACGCATTCTCTGAACGGCCAAACTATAAGTTTAGGTATTCTTTCATGAAGTCAATTTATCTTGTTTTGAAAGGAGGATCACGTGCAAATCTACGTTCCAATGATAAAAATCTCGACATGGCTTGCTCATGAGAACTACCTAGTAATTGTGGTGAATCTTTTAATGGTATAGTAACTATGAACCGACCGTCACTTTGACGGGTCGTTGTATTTTTAAATGACTGTTCGCATTCGTGATCTTCTTTGCAAAGTGTGCAAGATGAAGTGACTGTTTCCAATTCAAAGAATCTATTCAATTGTTTTTGCAACTCAAATTTGTGTGAAAACTGGCAATGGACTGTATTCATGTGTGGTTTTTTGTATGAAAAGGGATGGAGCCCGAGACTAGCCATCCTAGTATTGTTTTGTTTAAGAATGGTTTGTTTTTCCTAAAGAAATGCGTTCTGTATTTAAAATACGCCAGAATGTATCTGCGTTCAATAAAATATCGATACTCGATGGCTTATAGAAATGTGGATCGGCGAGATGTATGTTTTGTCGAATGTTCATTGAAGAACGATCGATTTCTATGATTGGCAATGATTGAGTGATTTGTGGTACTATATAACAGTTTATGTCTTGTATGTATGGTTCAAAAACTGATGAAATTGTTATATAACACCGATTTTGTATGAGTGATGACTGACCGTTCAATCCTTCCACAGAAACTGATGTTGACGCTATAGGTAGATTTAATTTATCACAAAGTACAAAAAAAAACTAACAAAACACATATTTTATGTTTTTTACCATCAAGGGTAACAATGTCAACAACAGCTGTAGATAAGAGAACATAACATTAATGAAAGAGCAATATTTGTTTGTGTGATTTGTGGTTGTGTGCTTGTGGTATTCCTTTCCTGCATCACACAGTTGTTGCTCTCCTTAGAGGCCGGTGAAGTTACAGCTTCTCATGGTTCCAGTTGAAGCATAGTGTTATATTGTTTTGAACATACCCTGCAGGAACCTAACTTACATTTGGTGTGATCATGGCCTGTGCGTAAACAATTAATGCACAACAATTGAACAGTTAGAACAGTTATAAATACATAGAACAGTAATAAATTGTATGATTATTCTTACACAACGAGCATGAGAGGTTGCGTGAATGTTGGTTGTATAAATGTTGATTGTAGAAATGTTGATTGTTTGAATGTTGATTATATGAATGTTGTTTGTAAGTGAATGAAGTACGAGTAGAAGGAGTGACGATGAATGACCTAGGTTTTGTGTGAGTGATTTCGTTGTGTCTGCGTCCGGGATGAGCTTCTTCTATGGTCTCAAGGAAATCAGCTCGATTTCTTAAAAATGAAATAAATGTTTCCAAAGTAGGTGCGTGAAATAAGTGGGATTCCCATTCTGTTAAGGAGATAGGGTGCAATTTACTTGAGACCAAAAAGATAATAAGTGCATCCCAATGTTCTGTAGGAAGTTTGAGTGCTTTGAGTGCTCTTAGATTTTTGTGTATTGTGTCTTTAGTTTTACGCAGCGCATTGAAGTATTCCCTGTAAATATGCTCCATATTAAATAAATCTTGTATGTGGTTATGAATTTAAAGTTTATTGTTGTGATAACCTTCACAGAGTAACTTTCAAGCGATGTCGTAATTGTCTGATGAATAATCTAATGAACGAATGACTTCGGCAGCGCTGTCTTTAAGTGAAGCTCGAAGGTAATGAAACTTATTAATTTTAGGAATGGATGTGTCTGAATAAATTAATGAGTTGAATGTGTCGTGAAATTCGAGCCAGTCTTGATAGTGGCCGGAAAAGGTTGGCAAATTTATGGTAGGCAGCTTAAGGCCGGATCTACCTGGTTTGTTGGTACACGCAGTCCGGGAGCCGGCGCCAGACCCGCCGCCGCTGCCGCTGTCCGCGGAGGCAGCCCTGCCACCGCCATGTTTCTCCAGCAACTCGCGTGCGGTACCCACGGCACTGAAGTACTGCGTCTCGAAAGATTAATATCCATGATTGGTCTTCCTGCAAGTGATTAAATGAGGTAAAACAAAATATGATTAAGTAATTTTTAAGTTGTGAAAATTGATTTTATGTAACTTTAATAAAATGTTTACGTTTTTTATTTATCACGATGTTACGACGTGACGTGGCCAAGCGAGCGAGCTCGGCGTGGATTGGCCGGCCGGCCGTCGTTGACCTTGAATCTAGCGCTGCGAGCGAGCGGAGATGCACCCTGTCCAACGTTTGGTTGCACCGTTGCAAATAAAATATGATTTGAAATTTGAATCAAATAAAAAACTTTTTTGCGTAACTATTAATGATTGAAAATTGGGTGGGTATGTCTAAATGAGATTAATTTTAAGTAATGCCTGCTGAAATGTTTTTAAACAGAAGGTAGGTAATTAAGTACCAACGTAAAAGTTAACTAAGTATGGAAATAAATGAGAAGTTGATAAATGCCTACTTGTTTTTGAGAACAAGTTGTGATTAATAATGATTGCAATGAAGTTATGTTAGAAAAGTAGGCAGGTAGGTACTAGATCGTAACCTTACTGTAATGAATGGATTTTCTGGATAGATTTGTGCATACAAATAAAAACAGGTAAATTGGTATAAGTAAGTAAAGGTAATCGATGGATGGTAGAATTGGAAATAGGTAGGTATGTGGGCTGTAATGGAACGAACTCACTGTTATACCACTTCGCGTTGCTCCTCACGGTTTTTTGTTTCTGTAAATCTGGATGGATGATGTGAAAAGCTATGAATGAGTGCGATGATTACTGTCTTTAGCTTCTGTAGGTGAAGAATATGAATTTGTAGGTGCCTTCTTTGGCGTGATGAATCAATGATTTTGATGATTTATGCTGCGTAGATGGGCCTTGCCACTTTTGCCTACAGGATAGCTTGAATGATGAAAATTGGATGATGAGTCCCACCACGTAGATGGGCCGCGCCGCTTATGCCTACGGGGGATTTCTTGAAAGCTTGATGATGAGTGAAAGTTTCTTGAGTGTATGATGAGTTGGCTATTGTTGATGAAGTGAGCAAATTGTCCCTGTCAAGTTTAGCACCAGTTATAAGACACGTTGGCACGAAACTTACACGACGCTTCCACAAAATGGCCGATGTCGCCGCGGGTCGATTCTTGCGCCGATGATAATGTAATCCGTCTCGATTGAACCAGCAATGGGGAGGCTTCTTCGGACAATAAAAATAAAAACTTGCTGTTGTGTTGAAAATATATATAATATCGATTCCACAATAACTAACTATAGAATTGACACTGACTCTAATAGCAGAAATTGTGGACACGTAATGCGCGTTCAAGATTCGGTAGCCAACTGAAACGGTGTGGGGAGGCGTCTTAGGCTCGATCAGGGGGCGTACAAAATAATAATAATAAGGCGTAGGGAAGTGACGACCCCTTCGCCCGCTGATATAACGGTTATGTGACAAAACCGCTACGTCGGCGCAGTCAGGCAGCACCTTGCCAAGAGGTGTTAGTGCCGTGCCTCGGCAAAAATTGAAGGTGCCAAGGCCCGCTTGTGCACATGGCCTAACCATGAAACGGCGCCGGGTCTGGGCGTCTCCCGCTAAATGACGCCCTAAAATGGATGATGGAATCAAATGGAACGCGCAAAGGGCCGCTGCCTGGAGATCGCCAGGGCGCGTCTGGAGCTGGCGCTATACGCGCCAGCATGCGAACCGCCAGCCGAGCGCGAGGTGCTGCACGACCACCCAGCAGCTCCTCGCATCCATCATCCCCACCAGCTGGCTTGGTGTCGGCAGGGTCTTCGCGGGCTCAGCAATCGGCACCCGCCACTGGTGGAGTACGCCGCATGCGTTGGACAACCCAGATGAACAGCAACGCATTGCGGGCGTATTTTAGGGCGAAAGGGGGAGAAACTGGAGGTTTTGCGTATCGGGCAAGGATGCATCGACTTTTTGCTGAGCTGGAGCCATCTGTAACCGTCACCGAGCAAAACCTGGCAGACCGAGTTCGGTATATCTTGCGCTCAAATACATTTGATGTCACCGAACTCGAACGGCTACGACGTGAGGCTGTTCCTTCATCGGGTGAAAATGCTGCGGCTGAGGATGCGGCGCCACAACTTGCTGAGCAAACGGCAAATGTGGATGCCGCCGTGAATACGCCAGTTGTGGTTGATTCAAACGATGATGGAACAGTCGCCCAGGAACTGGAACTAGAGCAAATGAGGAGTACATTGGAAGAGGCGATTGTGGAAACGCGCAGTACGACTCTCGAAAATCGACCGGGACTTCCCCGCTTAGCCCTAAGCAAGCGGAATCGGGCTGTCGTGAGGGCTCTGAACCCAATGCTGGTTACCTATTTGGAAGCCAGCCGGGACCTTTGCGATACGGACTCAATTCTTTTTGGCGCCGCACTGGCAGTCTGCCGTATTATAGGTGCCAAACTTTCCACGGCTGGACTCGCTACTGGACAAAGTAGTGCTATCCCAGCCTGGAGAATAAGAATTGAAGAACGTATCGCAAAGGCTAGGGCCCTCATCGGCAGACTGATATGCTTCAGGTCAGGCAATACCAGGCCAAGGATTGTGCGCACCGTCAGGATGGCGTTTGCTGGGACAAATGTTAGTTTGTCCCAGCCGGATATAATGCAAAAACTGACGGAGCGCATAGACGACCTGAAGCAAAGAATAGCTGCTTGGGGAAAGCGGATTCGGCGATATACCGAGAGGTCGACACGGTTCAACCAGAATCGTCTTTTCCAGAGTGATCAGAAGAGGCTCTATAAATCATTGGAGCGACCAATAGTAAGTGGAACGGGCCCTGCACCAAATCAGGCCGACATGGTCGCATTCTGGCGCAGCCTGTGGTCAGAGCCCGTAAACCACAACGAGGGCCCTTGGACGGAAGTTGTGGCGAGTCAGTGTGCGAGTATTACGCCCATGGACCCCGTCATCATAACGCCGGATGACGTAGCTGAGGCGGTCCGTAGGGCCCCGAACTGGAAAAGTCCGGGGCTTGACGGGCTGCATCACTACTGGCTGAAGGGGTTCATGGTGTGTCACTCTGTGCTCGCCCGACAGTTTCAAGAGGCTCTCAACCAGAAGTCGCTCCCAAGCCTCTTCACTACTGGGATCACTCATTTGGTTCCTAAAGATCAGGGTGCCACAGACCCGAGCAAATACCGCCCCATCACGTGTCTACCGACCATATACAAGACACTAACATCCATTTTGAGCGCAAGAATCGCTCGTCACCTGGACTTAAATCAGGTGATGTCGCGCGCTCAAAATGGATGTCGGGGCGGCGGTCGTGGAACCAAGGAACCACTCCTCATTGACGCGGTCATTGGCAAAGTGGTGAAACGCAACCGTCGGAACTTCTCCGCCGCCTGGATAGATTACAGAAAGGCATTTGACTCGGTGCCCCATACATGGCTAAAGAGGGTCCTCGAGCTGTACAAGATTGACTGTACAGTTCGAGACTTCCTCGAGCAGTGTATGGGGCAGTGGAGTACGATCCTCTGTCATCTAGGCGAGCGGATGACGGCTGCGGAAAGCCGCATAAGGATAAGAAGGGGTATATTCCAGGGCGACTGTCTGAGTCCAATCTGGTTCTGCCTCTCTTTGAACCCTCTCAGTACTTTACTGGAGGGCTCCGGGAAGGGATTTCAGCTTCGGAAAGGAGGTACAAAAGTGACCCACCTTTTCTACATGGATGACCTCAAATTATTCGCCTCCAGTCGCTCCCATCTTATGGAATTGCTAAACATCACGTGTGAATTTAGCAATTCTATTAGAATGGAGCTGGGGACGGATAAGTGTGCGGTCCTCCATGTTGAAAGGGGAAGGGTTGCTAACTCTGAGGGCATAGACTTATCTATGCCCGTCAACTTAAGAACCCTTTCCGAGGCTGAAACATACCGATACCTGGGTATGTCACAGAACATCGGTATCGATGAGGCTGGTATGAAACAGTCAGTTTGCGACGTGTTTTATGCACGCTTGACCAAAGTGCTTAACAGCCTTTTGTCCGGTGTGAATAAGGCACACGCATATAACGGTTGGGTCATGCCTGTCCTCATGTATACCTTTGGCATACTCAGGTGGACTCAGACTGAACTTAACGCCCTGGATAGAAAAGTCCGCACTACCATGACGTCCCATAGGATGCATCATCCGAGATCGTCGGTAATGAGGCTGTACTTGCCGCGGAAGCATGGTGGTCGTGGCTTCTTGAGCGCGCTCACCATGCATAATCGCGAAGTGTGCAGCCTCCGTGATTACTTCCTTGCGAGATCGGATGATCCTTTCTATAAGGACGTCATTTCTTGTGATAAAGGACTTACCCCTCTATCCTTAGCCAACGAGCAATGGCAAGACCCGGCAGTGCAGAGCATTTCCGACCGGGAGACCGTATGGAAGGAGAAGGAGCTCCACGGGAGGTTCTACAAGGCTCTACATGAGCCTTTCGTAGACACAGTAGCCTCCCTCCACTGGCTACGCTTTGGTGATCTCTTCGGGGAAACCGAGGGTTTTGTCTGTGCAATACAGGATCAGGTTATTAAGACCAACAACTATCGGAGATACATCCTAAAGGATGGCACCGTCGACCTCCCGGTGAGTCACTTAGGCATGTTATCTCCGGTTGTTCGGCGCTTTCTAACTCTGAGTACTTGCACAGGCACAACCTAGTAGCCAGAATTCTACACCAGGAGCTCGCTCTGAAATACGGTCTCGTGGATCGGAAATTGCCGTATTACAAGTACTTGCCGGAAGCCGTGCTCGAAAATGATCGCGCCAGGCTCTATTGGGACCGGGCCATCATCACAGACAGGACTATTCTTGCGAATAAGCCTGATATTGTGCTGATGGACCGGGCACAGTCAAGGATATTTTTGGTCGACATTACCATTCCATATGACGAGAACCTCGTGAAAGCCGAAACAGACAAGAAAACAAAATATCTGGACCTGGCTCCCGAGCTCACCGCCATGTGGGGTGCTCTGCCGCCCGAAATTATTCCTGAAGTCGTCACTGCAAACGGGCTAATCCCAGTCAGCCTCTCGGGTCATCTGAGGCGGCTGGGACTGAACGTGGCGGACCGCTCCAGGTTCAAATGCAGAAGGCGGTGCTCCTCGATACCGCCCGCATCGTCCGCCGGTTTCTTTCCCTTTCCCCCTAACCCTCGGCCATTTGGTCTCCCCTGCCGAGGGCCACCATCTGGTTGGGCTTTTACTTATTTATGTACTTTTATATTTATTTTATGTTATTGATATTTATGTATATTTATCTTTTCATTTTCATTTATAATTATATATTTATAGAACCCAACCAGATGAGAAAACTATATATGATACTGAAAATATAATAATACATACAAATAAAGATAGGTGAAAATTATATATAGAATATCATTTAAAAGATTAAATGAAAAGAGTACGAGAAAGGTAAAGTAATTTATCTAATGGCGTTCTAAATAATACGATTTTTGAAAGAGTGAAGAGATTAGCACGAAGAATATGGAGAGGTAAGGTGTTCCACAATCGCTCAGCTATTACGGGGAAGGATTTCTTGGAAAATGAATAAGAGTGCAAAGATGTAGAGAGAGAAAGATTGACGAAGGATTGAAGGAACCGGGTAAGAGAAAAATACTGGAAACGGTTTTTTTAAATAAAGAGGAGTGGAAGGATTAAACAGCACGCTATATAACGCGAAGAGAATGTGAGTATTCCTGCGAAGGTGGATCGGGGGCCATTTGAGCTGTTCGGAGATATGATCATATTTGCGAAGCCCAAATATAAATCTAAAGCATAAATTTTGAATGCGCTCAAGCTTATTAAGCAGCTCCTCGGTAATGTAAAGATAGCAAATATTAGTATAGTCAAGGATAGGCAGAAGTAGAGACTGGGCGAGCGTAACTTTAGTTGCTGTGGGAAGAAAATTACGTAATCTACGTAAAGAGCTTAACGTAGCAAACATTTTTCTACTGGCCTCATTAACCTGTGAGGTCCAAGGCATACAGAAGTCAAGATACAACCCCAGGTTTTTAACTTTGTTACTGTAAGGGATTAGAGTGCAGTCTAGTATAATAAGGGGTAGGGAAGACCAGTCAATATTACCAATTAATCTAGAACTACCGATGACAATGTCCTGAGTTTTCTTAGGATTAATCGTTAAACCATAACATTTACTCCAATTCGAAACACAAGTCATATCAGCGTTAATGGTGTCAACTGCTTTAGATATATCTTCAAGAGAGGACTGAGTATAGATTTGTAGATCATCAGCGTACAAGTGGTAGGAAGAAGACAAATTATAACTTATAGAATTAATGAAAATTTCAAAAAGTAGAGGAGACAACACGCCAGCTTGTGGTACACCAGCAGCTGTAGTAGTCCAGGTGGAAAAAACCTCTTGCACCTGAATTCGCTGTCGGCGACCAAACAAGTAACTTCGAAACCAGTCAACTACAGTTGGAGATATGTTGAGAGAGCGCAGGATGCTTAACAAAATATCAAAATCTACAGTATTAAATGCGTTACTAAAATCAAGCAACGTGAGAATGGTAAGCTTTTGTTTCTCCATACCATACCGAATATCATCAGTGATTTGTAAAAGTGCAGTAGTCGTACTATGGCCAGGACGGAAACCGAATTGCAAGGGATTTAAATGATTGTGTTTTAAAAGATAGGTGCTTAACTAATTATGCACAAGACGTTCTTTCTAGAACGTCTTTCTTTGGAAAAGAAAGGAAAAATAGAGATAGATCTATAATCAGAAAAACTAGAGGGATTTGACTTTTTCGGAAAAGGAACTACAAATGCGTCTTTCCAAGCTGAAGAAAAAAAGAGAATTCAGAATTCAGTGAATTATTCAAGATAGAAGTGATAATAGGTAAAAAGGAGATCAATGAGATGGATGACCATTTTCCGACTAATGCAGTCACTACCAATCGAATTTGAATGGATGGACATTACGGCTCTCTTAACATCACAACTTTTAAATTGGCTAAAATAAAAAGCAGAGGTGTCCGGAGTGGGAGCTTTTGAAAGAGAATCCAAAGTATTATGTTTTGTTTTATCGTTAATGCAAGACAAAGATGAGAAATGCAAATTAAGTTAATTGAGATCAAAGTTATGTTGTATGAGATTTTGTCATAATTTCCCAACTCCTAAATACTTAAGAAATTTCCACACCCTAGCAGGGTCATGGATATGGCATCGTTGTGCTTTCCTATACAGATAGTTGCAACGATTCCGTACTAATTTCTATTCAAATCGCTAGGAACTGACTTGTATTTAGTTTTGGCACAATTTTTAATGTGGATAATTTTTTTATATCATCGGTCAGCCAAGGAGAGGGAGGATGCTTTACACGCACAAGACGAACAGAAGCATGAACGTCGTAAAGCTGAATTAACAGAGAGTTGAAAAAAGCAACCTGTACATCAACAGTAGACGCATTGACGACTACACTCCAATCAATCTTTACAGCGTCTTTTAAAAGCTGCTCCAAATCCAAGTCACTAAAGTTACGCTGAAGTAGTATCCTTGACTTAGCTTTAGGGGGACGGATTTTGTATGACAAGTACAAAAGGTCGTGATAGGAAAAAGAATCAGCAGCATTTGCCCAAATTTAAGAAAATGGTCAGGTGAAGACACAAACATTATTTCGAGAAGAGAAGGAGCACAGTTCGGGAAAAGTCTGTGGCAGAAGTAGGAAGAAGTTTTAAATTTGCCGCTTCAATAATAGATTTAAGTTTTATTGATCTAGCATTGTTTTTTAAAAGACAAGTATTAAAATCACCCATAATAATGCTGTGACAATAGATAGGTGTAAGATTGTCAAGAATATTTTATAACGTAGTGAAATAGTTGACAGTGAGAGAGGCAATGTAAAACACTCCTAGAAGTAATTTTGTAAGACATAGTTTTAACCACGACTCCGAAACAAGGATAGCGTGTATGTTTTTGCTATTAAAACTTGACAAAATTTCGGGGTAATGAGCAGGAATACTTTGAGCATTTATACGAATAGCGTTAACGTTTTTGCTAAATTCAGAAAAAGTTGAATCTAACATAATATTTAAGGGTGCAATGCTTTCAAAGCTGTCAATACTGCGTAATCTATCAGAAGCAGAATCAAAGGCGAAGGAATTAGAACTCCGTGCACTATCATCTGAAGAAATCATATTAAATTATATCTGACTACTAAATGTACGTAAAACTAAGTAAGGTATAAAATAAATAATTCAAAAATAAATAAGTCATCAGTAAACTACCTGCCAGCATTATGGAAAGAAATGTATAATTCACTTAACAATAAGTGAAGAAACGGAACGTTAACGTACCATAGACACAAAAGTGAGAGGTGTTAATGTCAGATGAGTCAAAATGTCAAAAGTGACAGTACATTAACTAGCAATTATCTACCTTACAACATACTTTTATCACTAATACTAAACATTCCAAATAAAGATTACAATAACAATTACCAACACATAAGAAAAATTATAACACTAAATAATAAACATTTCAAAGAGAGATTATTAATCATTACATTTTAATATCTAATCTACGATTAACAAGGAAAAGTAATGAAGATATGATGATAAAAAGAAAACTAAAATATGAAGTCCAGAGAAAAGGTATAACAGAATTACAAAAATTAATAAAATTATAAAATAAAATGATTTAAGAAAAAGTTCATTTTTTACCGGCCCTCTTACTCGTAGTACGCTGTGGTGTACCTTTTTCTTCGGGGGCCTTATTTGCCTCAAACGCAATAGGATAAACAGGTGAAGCAGAAATTGACCCGTTGCATAATGCGTCAAGCTCAGACTAAGTCTCAAGTTGGTGCTTTGTGCCATCTGGAGTAAAAATATTGATAACTCCATCCCTGGTCTAACATTTGGTGATGCCATACCTTCGCCTAGAAGATCTGGTAGGTAGTAATTTATTACATATAAATAACAAACATAAAATTCAAACTGTAACTATTTTTATAATATATTTAAATCTAAGATGTCAAAAATGTGTACTACTCAATTCACCTACCCTCAGAGAACCCTCAGGGAACTTATGCAGTACCAGCCCGTATATGGCAGCAATACTCTATACACCACCGGACTTGCGCTTTATATAATGTAAGCAGCTGTCCCGGTGTGACCTTTGACGCACCTTTGCAAGGACTTCTAGCCTCCTTGCAGCTGCTCAGGCCTTGTACTCAATGAAATGCCCGAAGTACAGATTTTTGGATATTTCAACCCCCAATAGCTGAAGGCGGTTGGTGTATTCCAATGATACTGCTGGCTGGCTCGTTTTGGCATTGAAGAGACAAGATTGTACTTTGGAGGCCTTGAAATTTATAAGATTGGTATTACCCCATTCGGAGACTATCTGTAGTGTGAGATAATGTCGGCTGGCCTGAGGACTTGGTTGGTATCTCTCCACAACTATGCTATCGGCTGTGTACCCATATATTCGGGCATAAACAGATCATTTTTTTGCAGCAGGAAGAGAGTTGCAGAGAGAAGGGACCCCTGAGAAACCCCCGCATTATTTGCTACAGAATCGGATGTTTAGCATACATAAAACCCTTTACCTATTCAATAAGACCAGGGCATATACCGTACGCTGCAAGTTTACCCAAAAAGCTAGCGTGTCAAACTCTATCAAAGAACTTCGAGAAATCAAAGGAAACAGCAAGTGCTTGATGTTCTCGAGTGCCATGCCCTCCCCAGCTGACCGATTTAGGCGAAACCCGTACTGGCGGTCACTAAGGAGGCCATTCTATTCTAACTGGTGTTCTGCCATTAAGCGGGCGTTCAATATACGCTTCATAATCTTCCAGAGTATGGAGGTAGTTGAGATTGGCCGATAATTGGCAGGGTCGGCACAGTTGCCTTTTTTTGGAATAGGCTGCATATTGGTCAGCTTCCAGAACGCGACAGAAGAGGTAGAACAAGCATGTCAGCACATGAGAAAAATCAGGTTCATTAGCTTTATTTACTTCCAAACATCGCAAGGTTTTAAAAACCTCCATATTTGTGATATGACCTCCGACATAGTGATCCAGCATTGAGATAATTCAGGTGGAACGGTTTTTCCACTGTTCTAACGCGAATTTGAAGCAAAGAAAAACGCAATGTTGGCAATGAATGGCTTTGATTTCACCCTGTGTATATCCTAAAACAAGATATTCGTTTGTTTTGAGTATGATGGTTGGAAATTCTCTAAAAAATCTTTATCGCTCGTGTACGTTATAATTAAGTTAAAATGAGGCTAAATCAGTGAAAAGATCCTGTCCCAGCGCAGAAGCGCTGACAGGTCAACGTGAATAGCACTTGAGAAGTAGCCTGCTTTATCACTTTCTCGAATTGCCGTCACAAGGACCGCTTCAGCAAATTTTTCGTTTACCCGCAGCGCCTTTTTTAAAATACAGGAATTTGGAACATGGTCATTTTGCCTCACTTGCATCGTAAACAATAACAATTAGCAAGGATTTGTTATATAATTTTATTTAATAAAGTTCCGCTGGATTTCTTGCTGGTTCTTCCAAGGAAAGGTATTTATTCCGAACCAATGGTAAAAGTAAAAAATTACTTTGAATGCCTATTCAAAGTCATTTTTAAAGTTTTCTATAATAACACAAATACTTCATTAATTTATTTAATTTTATATATTTATAAAAATTTAAATTCAAGTACATACACGAACTATTTGAGTACTTAAGATTAAACGTTAAACATTACAAAAATATAGTTTAATATAAGTTACTTTGTTTTTTGATACATTCCATATATGCTTGTAGTGGGTACTGAAATTGATCAATTACCCCGTGATCCTTTTAGAAGAGACATATAGATTTAGTTATAGGGATGGCATTTATGACAGTGTTTTTTTTTTGTTGGTCTTTACTAAAGGAACTTAAGTGTTTACAATGGGTAAATTACAAAATTCAATCTTTTGGAAATAATGTTACTTGCAAATAAACATTTATTTGAATTTAATTTGTTTTTTTTTAGTGTCCAGTTTTCTGAAGTAGAAATTATTTCTATACGTTTGAATACTGATTTTAATAAAGCACTTAATAGCAACCACGTTGGTTGAACTAATTTAAAATCAGGAGCGAAGGAACAGAATATGGTGGAACTAACTGCCCCGATTCAAATCCGGTTCGAAGAACCATAAAATGGTGCGACCACAGGCTCTCCCTTCGAATCCGGGTAGAATTAACCAGAAAATGGTAACGCTACTGTATGCTAAATTGAAGCGCCAGAAAGTGGTTAAGCGATAGGGGTCTCGGGTTTGATTCCCGGGTCGGGCCAAAATATATTATGCACGATTTTACTATGTTTGGACTGTATGCGTGGTTCTCTATAACCAATGCAAGATGGCGAAAATGGCACGTGGCTGGCTTTTGGACAATGCACTTGCTAGGGCCTATTCAACTAAATTATAATAAATTTATATTGGTAATCATATGGAATCCTATTCCACTCGTCTCCTAAAACTAAAATTAAACTCACTATCGGACAGACGTAAACTACATGATTTAGTCTTTTTGTACAAGCTTACAAATGGGACTATAGATTCTGCAGAATTACTATCACAAATATTGTTCAAAGTTCCCTGCCGTGTGCCGCGTTTTTCGATTCCCTTACTCAAACACAAATTTTTACGTGGTAGAGCCATGCTGCAGTTATATTAGTAGTATAGTTGTAGCACGAATGGGTCGGCTCGACCGGGGAAGGACCACGCTCTCACAGAATACCAGCGTGAAATAGTAGCTTAATGCTGCTGTATTTCGTATGGTGAGTGTAGAGAACCGGAGACCCTTTTTACTGGAAACGAGGCATTCCATCTCAGTCCTCACGGGTGACAACGCATCTGCATTTTGATTTTTAATGGAGGATAGATGTAGATGTCTATGGGCCGCAGCAACCACTTACCATCAGGTGGACTGTGTGCTCGTTTGTCACCCTATTCTATAATAAAAAAAAAATAAAAAAATAATTGTATAAAACTAGTCTTGGTCATCACTCTCTTATACCAAGAATAAGCAGATTTTATAACGAATTTGTCCTTAAAGATAAGACTATTGACTTATTTAACGATAGTATAAAATCTTTTAGAGCCAAAATTGTCAATCTATTTAATAACTCATAGTAAAAATTATACCATATCTTTATATCAACTCGATATAAATGTTGTTATTTTTATGTATTTTTATTTTTCATATATTTCGTATTGTCTAATTGTTTTTTGTTTGTTTTATATTAGTATTTTACTCGTACTTGTAACAATTATTAAGTTATCGTACAGTTATCGTCTTTTTTAAACATGCTGTAACTACCTTTAAATGGAAACATGTAAATCTTAGTTCCTAAGCCTATTGTCACATTTTTTTAAAACAACATGTTATTCCGTTGGTGGTTCTATCAATAAAATAAAAAAATTAGCCAGCAAGGGTATGAGCGTGACCTTTTAAAGGGACGGGGCGGCACAAATGAGAATAGCTCACGTTAGGAAAACAAAAAGGCACTTACTTGGGCGTTGATTTTCTAGTGGCCTTTTACTCAGGCCTGAGGTTGATGGTGCTACATTGCAGCTTCGGTGGTACACGACGATAACTTACACTATGTAAAGACGGTCACTATTAGTGGATCTTCTGTGTCGCGACTGCCACAGAGGTGCAATCACAACTAGCGATGATCTTCACGGCACGTCGAGAACAACTAGCCGGCCGGTGGTGTGTTCTCCACCTTTCACTTAACTGCCAAGCGCGTCTTATTGGTCGCGCAAATTGATGCGACCAATCTATCCAACTATTGGTGTGCCCGTGCCGGAAGTAAAGGACAAAGGATACCAGCTACCATAGTCTACAAAATATGCGTTTTGGCGCAATCACACAGTTTTTGATAAATATTTTATATAAGAATATTATCTGCATATTTCGCTTTAGGGGGCACTTAATAGAAATTGCTCGTAATAGAAAAAACGTACAAGGTTATTAACGTCAGGGTAATTACTAGCACAGAGAGAGTCCTAACATAAGAACGAAATTCTTATAGCTAAAGTCTTTTTACGTATGACGTTTAATAAAGTACAAAATAAGATAGCTATATTATTCTCACCTTCTTTCTTTTACAAGGTCATTGCCATTTTTTCATTCCATAGATACATCTATTGATGTGTTATTAGCAAAAGAAAAACCCGTTTTCGATAAATTCATTTAGTCTTTGACTTAGTAAAATTTTGGATTTTTAGTAATCCAATTCGTAATGCTTATTTACATTTACGAAAGGTTATGGAAGCTTCTATTACATCTTACAACAAAACGTAGTCGAATAATACAGAATTTTGTACTATCGTTGTGTAATTTAAAATATATCGTGTAAAGTTCAATACGAAACTGTGGCCAAAATTCGGTCTGGAGGATATTATATCACTATACTACTTTACGTGGTAGAGATACACTGCATCTTTAAGAGTTGTACCACGAATGGGTCGGCTCAACCTGTGTAAAACCACACTCTCACAGAATATAAGCGTAATACAGTTCAAGGTTGTGTTGATTGTAAAGAATCGGTGACCCTTTTTTACTGGAAACGAGGCATTCCTTCTTAATCCTCAGGGGTATGAGGACGCATCTGAAGAATCTGCGTTTTGATTCTAAATCGAAGATAAATGTGGATGTGTAGGACCACAGCATTTACTTGCCATCAGGTGGACTGTGTGCTCGTTTTGCACCCTTTTTTATAAAAAGAAACCTTAGTACATTTTCCTTTGTGTACATTCCGTGATACAAACCAAGTGACGATTAAACAAAGTTGTTTTTTTTTTGTGAAACCCGTACTAAGTCTAAGGATAATTTGGCGGAAATATACCGGCTTAATTGAAGAAGATTTCATAGTGAACTTTTTACATTATATTTTAAGGTATACAACTATATAATGAAATTCTGCATTATTAGACTACATTTTGAGGACTAAGAAGGAATGCCTCGTTTCCAGTAAAAAAGGGTCACCGATTCTTTACAATCAACACAACCTTGAATTGTATTACGCTTGTATTCTGTGAGAAGAGTGTGGTTTGCAAGATGATGTTGTGACCAGGATTAAGAAAGGAATGCTTCGGTGGTTTGGTCATGTGGAAAGAATGAATGAGGAAAGAGTGACAAAGAAAATTTATGTTGTAGAAATGAATGGCAGAGTCGGAAAGGGACGTCCTAGGCGAAAATTTATCGACCAAATTGGCGATTTATTAAAAACGGGCCAAATTAGGAGTACCCTTAACCAACGAGCATGTATGCGTAGGTGTTTGGATGTGAAGGAGGCGAGAGAGGTGTGTCAAGATCGTGCCAAATGGCAGTCTGTAGTCTCTGCCTACCCCTCTGGGTGACAGGCGTGAGTGTTTATGTCATTTATGTGTAGACTACATTTTGTTGTAATATGTCAGATGAAGCATCCATAAACTTTCGTGTATATAAATAAGTATTAAAAACCGGATTAATAAAAATCCTAAATTTTACTAAGCCATAGGCTAAATGAATTTATTGACAACATACAGTAGGTGTCTATGGAATGGAAAAACGGCAACTACCTTGGAAATAAAGAAGGTGAGAATATTATAGCTATCTTACTTTGAACTACGTCAAGTATAACAGCGGCATGACCTTAGTCTACCTCCTCATTTGTCGTTAGATCACAACTACCAATAATGGGATTACGAACGTATTGCCCGTTTTTCTCTCTGCACCCTCAGGATATTATCCATCATTCATTAATTAAATATAGCCGATAAAAAGTCATGTTATTATTTGGTAAGATGTAGTAAATTCTTTTCCGCTGCCGCTGCCGTATTATCAAAATCCTGGCTTAATTTCACAATTTTGAAATATTTTCATCCAAGAAGATAAAGATTTGTTGAATATAATCGGTGATTTATATTTTCATTTAAGCAATGGTAAATCTATATAAAAAATCGATTACCACATGTGTGAAAGATCATCACTTATGAAAGACTAGACAGATTTCGATGAACACTCACACTTACAATTGGACCCGGTAAGTAGCGTTGTTGTAGAGATCTAGAAAATAGTCTTGAAAAGCCGGTGCAGATAGTCAGTCAGCATATAAAAAAGGGTTTACATGTGGGATCCACCTTGCACATGTACCGTATGTCTGTGAAGACTTAGTATTTATACAACCATAATTATAAGTTTTTAAAGTTTGCGAAACGAATATTTGAAATGTAATATAATAATCATCATCATCTGATTTAGAAAACAATTTACTTTAGGGTTTGAATTATAATAACTTTAGTCATAAGCATAGCATAGCATAAGTATAAACACTCACGCCTGTCACCCAGAGGGGTAGGCAGAGACCACGGATTTCCATTTGACACGATCCTGACATACCTCTTTCGCCTCCTTTACATCCATATATCTACGCATACATGCTCGTCGGTTAAGGGTACTTCTAACGTGGCCCCTTTTCAAAATATCGCCAATTTGGTCGATAAACTTTTTCCTAGGGCGTCCCTTCCCGACTCGGCCGTTCACATCTGCCATATAAATTTGCTTTGTCACTCTTTCCTCATTCATTCTTTCTACATGACCAAACCACCGAAGCATTCCTTTCTTAATCCTGGTCACAACATCAACTTGCATACCACATTTATCTCTTATCACGCAATTTCTCACCCTGTCATTCAGATTCAACCCTAGCATACTCCTTAAAGACCGCATTTCTACAGCATTTATTCTACTTTCGTGCTTCTTCTGCCACATCCAGCTTTTACTACCATACATTATAGTAAGGACTAACACAGCATTATGAATTACCATACGTGCCTTTTTTGATACATTCTGGTTCTTCACAATAGAGTGTAGTGCCCCATTCACTCTATTCCCTGCATTTACTCGTCGTTCTATATCCTTATCATATCTACCATCCCTGCTAAGTACACATCCCAAATACACAAACTCATCTACTTGCTCAATTAACTCTCCTTCTATTCTTATTTCACATAC